AAATTATTTCTGAAAGTGAAGTTTATGAATCAAATAGATGCGGCGCACGTCTGGTAGGCCTGCATTTTTAACTTTGCCAACTATTTACAAACAACTACACTATTTGCGGTGGCAGATTATTATACATGGATGTGAAAATACTCCCAATACTTACAAAGATTTAACTTCCTCTTTATTAACCCATAATCTCTGCATTGAAGCTTTTTAACTAAAAGATTAGCCACATTTAAAGCCTTCAGCAGCCTACACATACAATCAACTCCATGACCAGTCATTTGTAGGGTGGTAAGGCTGCCCATCTTTGACAAGGTCTTGTGTTGTCATTCCCACCGCAGTGGACGGGGTATAGATCCACTTCGTGAGAGATCCATATGCCCCGTCAGGATGGACTGCCTTCTCGGGTTTATCTGGGCAGGCCACCCTCTATCCTTATAACCCTTTTTCATTAGTAAATAAAATACAATTAGCTCCACTGCATGCACAAATCGGTAACCAAATCTATTGCAAAGCCAGCATGAAGAAGAGTCCTGTCTCTCTCTTTTTGAGTTTTTCTCTATGTTTTTATTTTATATGCGATAGGTGATCGGAATGCGCAATGAACAAAATTTTTCATATTTGTGTGTGACAGGGAAAGGGTGTGTTCAGTCATGAAACAACAGAAAGCCAGAATACTTATTCTACTATTCAAAGAAGAGTTCAAAAGGAATGGTGTTGTGCTCTTTGTCTGATAAGCACTACGGGCCAAAAATATCTGATAGGACATCTGGAGGGGAAGAAGCACAAGGCCAAAGAAGAAGATTTGATACTCTACAAACAGACAAGAAAGAATGGCAGATCTCAACCAATGTTCAAGAAAACTAATGGGATTTTGGTTGAGAATCTTAACCATATAGCTGTCAACCTGGAAAAGTATCTAAACCCAGTTAGATCAATTACATTATGCAAATGGGAGAAGCCTAAGTCTGGTTGGACAAAACTAAATACTGATGGATCCATAAACTCTAAAAGCGCTGGTTTTGGCGGTTTACTTCGAGATTTCAAGGGTGATCCTATTTGTGCTTTTGTCTCCAAAGCTCTAACAGCTGACATTTTCTCGGTCGAACTTTGGACTATATGGAGAGGCCTTGTTCTTGCCTGGGGTCTTGGTATTAAAGTCATATGGGTTGAGTCCGATTCATTGAGTGTCGTGAAGACCATTAATAGAGCTCAATCCCACAATCCGAATGCTATAACCTTCTCCTGTTTGAGCTGCATATGGGAGCTTTTAGGGAAGTTTGACAGATGTAAGGTATCTCATTCATGGCGCGAGACTAATGCTGCAGCTGATTATCTTGCAAAGATGAACCTTTCAGAAAATGATGTTGTTTTATGGCGGAATGATTTTCCTGAAAAACTTTGCAGAATTATCGAAGATGATGCCCAAGGGAGGACATATTTTCGGGATAACTCCTGATTTCCCTAGGTTTCCTGAAAGACTATCACCACAACAACATAGAAAATCAACTTAAAAATAGCCGTTGCTTGTTTCTGTCGCAACTTGCGGAGATGAACTGAATTGGCATGAAAATTAAGATGCTGTTGAAACAAGTTAAGCGATTGTTTAATTTTATGGCTGTGTTAAAAGCCTTTGTCTTACCTAACCATTATGGCTCTGCTTAGAAATGTTCTTGTATACACAGAAATACATATAGAATTAGTAGACGGCGACAATCTCGGCAGAGATGACGCAACTTTTCGCTGCCTGCTATGGCAATTTTTACTTGCCAGATTAAACAAGTACATTCCTCATCTCATACATCATATTTCTTGCGGGACACGGCACATTTGGTAAACATCTTCGGTAATCTTTTTGGAGTAATCTAGGTGTGTCAAAAGTTTATTTGAGGAGTATACTTGAGGGAAAAGGAAGTAGCAGAAACCGCGCTTATGAGACTTTCAAATCTGCGGGTGTTGCCCGCTTTTGCCATCATTTTTATCGGGTTTTCCTTTACTTGTTTTCTTTGTTTACCTCTAAGAAGTAGGAATATGTCTCAAGTCGTTGCTTTTCCACCAAGGAATTGTAACTTTTCTCATCTTATCGAAATGTGCATGTGGGATTGTGTGTTGAAAGCCCGGGAGTAATATGCGTTTTTTATGCTATGCATTTTTTTTTTTTTTTTTCACGTGTTTTGGAACTTGGAATAGCTCTCCACAGAAGGACTTTTCTTTCTTTTTTTTTTTTTTCTGAAGAAACAAAAGCTCAAATTTTAGTGACGCGGAAATGACACCACCGTTCGAGTAGAATACGTTAGGTCCTTTGCATTCAATGTGTGGGCTTCGTGACTTTCAAAGTGATGGAAAAAATGAAAGACGAGATAGCACTAATGATTATTATTTTCTCATGAAAAAAGTACAGTAATTCATACACAAGTCTTATACCCAGTAGGCAAATTAAATTATGAAGCGTTGCAAATTTTTGAGTTTCAACCTTAAGTCTTGCTTTCTATAAATCTTTCCATGTAAGGGGGTTTAAGCAACACCGTGCCTGGTAGGCATGTTCTCTCTCTCTCTCAAACATGAGAAATATGTGTGTTTGAAACTCGTTCTAAAATGATTTTATTTTTTATATAAAAATAAAAATAAAAATATTTTCTATATGAAAATAAAAATAAAAATATTTTCAATCTCATACATAAATTATTTTTAAAAATGTGTTTTGTAGTTTTATTAAGAGATTATTTTCAGTGAAAAAAACTCATTAATGTCTCTCTTTCTCTCTCTCTCTCTGCTTGAGAGATGACAAAACAAAAACAAAAACAAAAAAAAACTACTAAAAATCGTTTTTTATTTCGCTCTCATTTTACACTAAACCAAAAAATTATTTTCATTTCTGTTTTTTATTTTTATTGCGTTAAATGCCGTTTTAAAAACGTTTTTATTTTATTTTTTTCAAAAAACGTGAAAAATAAAAACGGGATCAATTCCAATCACGCCGTAATTTTCTATTAGTCAAAAGATTAATAATTTCATAGTTACTACACCAATAGAATAGTAAAAAAAAATCATAATTGTAGGTTAATACTCTGGTTTAGCTAAGACGTAAACAATGTTCCCAACAACCATATCAATATTTCCCACTCACCAATATATATATATATATATATATATATATTTAAAAAAATGATTACTTGTTGCACCCACTTATCGTTCAAAAAAAAAGGGTCGCTAAAAAAAAGTAAAATTTTGTGATAATATAAATGTTCATGTTATGGTTAAGAGATAACTTTATTATCTTTAGTGTTGCAAAAAAAAAAAAACTATGCCCAGCACTTCTAAACCTTTAAGAATTTATAAGCTACTTACACAATAAACTAAACATACATATAAACTTAAGGGCTCGTTTCAGGGTGTTTAATAAATTGTATTTTTGTCCAATAACTTTTAAAAACTGTTGCCAAACATTAAAATTTAAAGCAGGTCATGAATTATTTTTGCACAATGTCTTTTACTATCATTGTCCAAATTTACTAAAATATCTCTAATAATAAAGGTTAATTCTCTATCCATCCATTTTATTTTTCATACCAAATTAAAATATATATTTAAAAATTAAAAATATTCAATAAATATACTATGCTAAATTTACTGAAATATTTTTTATACTTATTTAAATATTTGAAAATAACAACAATACATAATATATTTAACGATTTATATTGTAAAAATATTTTAAATAATAAATTAAAATCATGCATTTTTTTAGTATTTTGGTGTAAAAATATTATGAATATTGACTTAAAAATTAGCACAAATATTTATCGTTAGTTTCACTTCTATTTTTAAGATTAATATTCATAATATTTTTACACTAAAGCACTAAAAAGATGTATGACTCGAATAAAATTATTAGGAAAACCATACACAAATTCACTAATTTCAGCAAGAATTTTTTCTGTATACCTCCATTTTATTTTACTAGGAAATTGCGAACGTCGCCACCTCAGTCGCTTCAAGATTGGTATAAGCACGTACTGACCGGGGGAAGGGGGTAAGATGTAGAATCCTCTTATTTTTGTTTTCTCCTAAGTTTCCTTTTCCCTCCTCGTATCTCTCAATCAGAAGCTGGAGAAGAGAGATGGCATATGAGAAGTGGAACTCACTCGAATAGAGAGAGTATAGGCTCACTCACAGGTCGGGCTAGTACCGCAAACATATTTTAAGTGCAAGTCAGAAATTTTACTTTTTATTATTGATTAACAACATTTTTAGTAAAAAAAATACCAACAAAAGAATATTAATCAAGTAAAAACCCTAACTCTTACAATTTAAATAGATATTGCAATGTTTTGACCACTCACCCGCGTAAAAACCCTAAATAATGAACAAATAATTTCATTGAGAATAATGGATTACTGTCAAAAAGAAAATCACAAAAACACACTTAAAATAATATAATAAAATAAATATATGATTATATACCTCGGTACGGTCCTTAACAAAACTATGTGTTTTTGTTCATTTGATTTAAAAGTCTTATTTTGTTCTCTTTTTTTTTAAGTTCTTTTTCTTTGGCCTGATCAAATCATGATTCAAATTATATTGTTATAATGTTTTCTCTTACCTAAATTTAAATTTAATTTTTTTATTATAATATTTTTTTCTCAAGTACACAACTCAAATCATGTTTTGAATTGTGCAAATAAACACTTATCTTTCTCTAAGAGTATATCTCCTTAATAAAAATAAATAAATAAAAAAAGGCATCCAACTTCGGCAACTGGCTTGTTTTTGCAACCGACGAACCCAACGAAGAAAAGGCCCCTTTGCTGCAGTAGGCGATAGATCCGTAATGCGTTAAATTGTATAATTTTAAGAATAGTATGAGCAAAGTTTCAAATGAAATTCAACTATGATCGAACCTATTTTATGTATAATCAACATCACAATAGCATGTGACCTTTTATATACTTGGACGGATTAGAAGCAAGAAATTTGTTAAAAAGGAAGAAAAAGAAAAAGCGGATTGGCAAATTAAAAAAACTGCCAGACGCATTTCCATTGGCAATAGACAGACGACTGTACAGTTTATAAACATGTATTAACTCAAAACTTAAAAATATCTTATATGCCCACCTATTCTACCCAATTCCCATTAACATTTTAAGCATAATCTATATAGTATCTACATAATCAACCACTTTTGATAAACCTCCCCCAAAAAATCCCGTTATAATTTAATCAGCCAAATCCGAACCCTTCGTTGGCCTCGTGAATCGCAAGAAGCAACCTCTCCTCCAGATGTTGTTTAGAAGGATACTCTGGAAGATCCAACTGATTGAAACTGCAAATTAACCAAGTAGGATTATCACAGGTTATTCTTTGTACAATTTCTTTTCTTTTTCCAAAAAAAAAAAGGGAAAAAAAAAGAAACGGATTGTGACAAGATCGAGACTGTGTTGGAAGGAAAAAGGATCATAAAGTACCAAGTATGCGCAGATGGCAAGTGATCAGGACTGCCATATGCTTTGTGTATCTGGAATTTTTGCGAGCCTGAAATGCCTTGAAGTGCACTAAAACCTTCCAAAGGCACCTGAACCAGTTGAAACATAAATGTTATGATACCAAAAAAAAAAAAAAAGATGAAGAAGAAGAAAGAAAGAAAGAAACACAAAACTCAATAATGATTCCATATGTGTTTTGATCGATGAATGTTGAAGACCACTGGCACCAAGCACCAGATGATAAGGTGAACAATTAAATATGCCGTGCTTGTACTTTTGCTAGGCTAAAGAACCATATGTAGTGTATGTATTTGAATTTGAGAATCGTCTTTTAAATGGTAGTTTGGTTTATACTTTATCATGAAACATGTACAGGACAAAATACCTTTGAGGTGCCAGTCACAAACTGCAACAGACGAGCCTTATCCTCCTTGCTAAAACTTTGGACAACCTCCCAAAACCACTGTATAACAGGAGATGCCGCACTATATCCAGAATATTCAGTATTTGCCCTCATATCATCCACTGAAACCAATGCAATATATTTGTCAGGATTCTATGTCATGTACGTGAAATGAAAGAAAAATAAAAGACGAAACATTCATGAGAAGGAAATTTAAATAAGGCGAGAGAAACTTACAGTCAATATCTGGAAGCCCACTAATCAATAGTTCCAACTCCTTGTCATTGAAAATAGACACAAGTTCGCGGGGAATTAATTCAGTGAATCCTTCCAGAAAAGCATTTATTTGAGGACGAATAGCTGTTGTCAACCTATGCTCAGCAACTAAATCAACATATTGGTGCTTATTATCTTCAGTCACTTTAATATTCCGTCCACCAGGAATCAATTCATAGTCCGTGACCTTCATTTTTAAGTTGGTCAAAATCAGCATTAGCAAGAAAATATTGTGATAAGAAAAATTAGATCAAGATGAAAAGAGGGGCAAAATATTACTTCTGTCCTTTCATACAAAATCAGCTTTTCCTCGTCAGCATCAATGCTGAAAGTAAGGTCCAGAACATCACTGATATCATTCTGCAAAGACGAAAGAGAAGTCAGAATCACCTATCCACATACAGAGCAATAGAAAAGATATATAGAAATAAATACAAGTATATAAACATAGTGTTGTTGGCAATAAGCCTACCTCAAGCATCCATTTGAGGTTTTTAAAGTAATCAGGATCAATGGCTTCAATGTCATGATAAGTGACCTTAGCCCCCAAAATATGCTTGTAGAAAGATCGAGTAAAATGGACATCCAAGAGCTGCCCATCAAAAAGAGCTTTTCCAACCTGTAGATCATAACAAGAAATTAACTCCTGGCACATAAAACAAATACTCCATACAACAAGATCAACGAAAATTTGTGCTCACCACTCGTCCAACAAACTTGAAATATGAAAGATGCTCTGTTTGGTAGACAGAGTTGGGGTTGGGCTGAAACGTGGATTCATTGCCCACTGTTGTAAATAGCAGGGCACCCTTGTCAAAAATAACTCGCGACAACAGCTGATACCATTCCCTGGTAAGTCCCCCAGCATCGATACCTTCCTCTCCTTGAAAGTGAACCGTCAACCTACCCTTCAAATCTTGTGTCGATCGCATGCGCAACTGGTTGTATGAATCTTCAAGAATATAAGCTCTTCTTACTGAGATTCTCAAAGGACTGTGATGATGATCATGCTGGTGCTTTATTTTCGATCTAAAGTGAGAACGCTTATTGTCAAAATCAATAAAGCGCGGAACCTTCAGCAGTAGGGAGAAAGATTTTTCTAGCAAACCAGGATTCTGCCGAATGAAAGCATTAAGCAGTTTTCTGTGCTTCTCTGAGAACTTCACAAAAGCAACGTGTTTTTCATCAGATTTCACAGCAGCACCCGAGGCCTTCTGTCCAGTTGATGTGGTGGCATCTTCAATCTCAGAAACCACAGAAATACTGAAATCATGACCAGGACCCGGCAGTGCAGGATGTAACTTCTCACACACCACAAAGAAAGATTCTATATATGGCAAGATGTTATGAGTTCCAGCAGGCAGAGGAGCGGTTGCACCTGATGGTTTAGATGTTGATGTTCTATAAGAAGTCGACGCATCCGGGGCAGAATCTGAATAGCTCTCTATTTTGCTTATGCAAGTGCTTAACTCCAGCCACAAAGGCTCCAAAGCTGTATTTATGTCCCACACCTGAGAAAGAGGAGCGCCATGCTCCTTTTCAGGTATGGCCTGGGGATCTTTCTCTTTATCACTCAAAGAGGAGACAAGAGAGCTCAATGCCTGCAAAACTCTTAAAATGGCAGCTCCATCAGAAGATGTGGTACTGAGGAGTGCTTTCACTGTTTCACCAAACAACCGCAACTCATCCATAGCAGATTTGGTCAATTTCTGAACGGCTTCTGATAGCTCAGTAATAAACAGGTTACAGTGAGTGGGAGCAATTGCCACCAACTTCTTCATCACCTCAGCTACAAGAGCGTATGCATTATCTGACAATCTGAGAGAAAAACGTAAAGATGTCAAAACACCAAATACACATACAAATCTTTTTGTGCAACAAAGCAAGGGAAAAAGGTGAAAAACCGGTTTGCATTTCTTGCCCTAGACATTGTACGTCTACCGGATGAAATCTTATGAAGCTTAGAACTATCATATACACTACATCATCACAAAATTAAATTAAATTTAAAAGAAAAATGAAGATGCAACGTGTTAGGTATCCTCTACGAACAAGTCAAAAGCATAGACTACTCTGTACCCTTCTCGTGCAAGCAAAGAGCAAAGAAGCCGAAGCTCTGGTTGTGGCAGGTTGAGTAGAACAGTTTGACCATCACATTCATTCTCTGCCCCAGAAGTTGAGGGTTTGGAAGAATCGATGACCTTACTTGATGCACCAGCTCCAGTAGAAGTACCACCAGATTCTGTATTCATCTCAGTATCTGAAGTCAAAAGCTGAGGACCAGATGCATGTTCAGAAGATGAAGATCCAGATTTTACAGATGAACTTGACTTGCTTTCAGCGTTATCAATGATGACCTCCAATAAGTTCAGCAACTGAAAAAAAAAAATGTGAACAAATGATTCAGTAAATCAGTGGAATCTTTAAAAAATAATAATAATAAGAAAAACAATAAATAATCAAAGCTCCAGAAACAGCTTTTCACCTGTTCTAGGTGTGATATACTCCTCAAATAAAGGGGCTGATTCAAAAGGCTCAAAAGCAACACTGTGGATATATATCCTTCCTGATTCTCAGTCTTATTCTGCCCATTCTCTTCAACAATCGTCACAGCTTTGCCAGATCTCTTATCAACACTGTCCTTAGGTTCTTGCTGGACAGAGAGAGGCAGCCGTAGTTGAAGCAAAATCTTTGCCACATACGGATGGTTTCGAGCCAAATAGGTCAGAGTTTCTAGCACACGCCGAGACACCAAAGGAGGAACTCCTACAAATAAGAAATAAATGTAAAATAAGTCAACCACACAACACTAAATGTGAAAATAATATTAAAATGCAGCATAGTGAAGGTACTTCAGCATTGACTCTAAGATCTGATTAAGAGATGAAAAGAACAAGCATTGCTATCAAACTTTGAAGTTTGCAAGACAAGAAGTTTCAAGGAAAAAAATTGATAACATAGGTTTCAATATCAATTAAACTTGAGCTGCACTAGATCAACAAGATAAGTTATCAGCTCTGAACGTCTAACAAGTACATTCATCTTTATGTATTCATGTTGTATATATTGTTATATTTTAAAAAAGCTAATGATAATCATACACATGTTGTAGCCTGCCACAACAAAGAACTTCTCACCACCATTTCTCATTTCTTGTTCGGAAAAAAGGAATGTGGGAAAGACTTACGGGAATTGCGTATTCAATAAAAATAACGCATAACATTAATATATTCATTTACCAAAAATTATTTAATTTTTGAAGTTTGATTTAAATTTATTAATTTTTAGTTCCCAATATTAATCTTATTTTAAAGTAAATGTAGTAGGTCTCACCATCAAAGAACTGAGGACGTGAATACATCACATTTGTCTGGCACGCATAAAGCCGATATGGCGGCTCAGAATCAGATGAAAGACTCGCAGGCTTCCTTGTACCAAAGATTAGCAAGTCCATGAGAATTTTCACAAGCGAAGTTCTCGTTTCACCATGAGCACATAAATTTAACAGAAGCCTTTGCAGCTGGCCTTTGTATAATGGCTGCAAAAATTCCAACCATTAGCTGTTAAATCATAAATAAGAATGCATGAAAAATAGACAAATCCTTTCCTACTAAATACAACCTGAACGATGCGAAGTAGCCGAATCATTGCATGGAGAGCCTCTGTATCAACTAAAGGAATTCCATCAGCTTCAACTACCTTAGCTCCTGTGGACCTACGGGACCCAATGCCCCCAACTCTTTCCAGGCTAGATCCAATACCATCACCTCGTCTAGAAGTCTCGCCTCTACGATTTCTAGGGTATACACCAAATAAGGTACGATTGTAACGATGAGCGAATCTTTCACGCAACATGTTTGCCTCTGCAATTAGAGCCGGCGTGAGGTTGGCAAGTATCGCATCAGATGAAGTTAGAAGCACCTGAACATTTAAAAACAAAAAAAAATAAAGGGATTTTAATTACAATCTAATGACAAGGGACGTAGGCAGTAAAACAAAAATACAAGCACCAAAAAGAAAAAGAGAAGGGAGAAAGTTACCTCCTCACGTAACTCTGAAGGAAATGTTGCAATGATAGAGACTGTGTCCATTTCAACTGGTTGACCTTCCAGTTCTTGGGATTGATGTAACCTTTGAGCTTGCTGTTGTGCTAGAACTTCTGCTCGGATATCCGGGGGAAGGGCTGCAAGGAATTCTGGATCAATATCTCCAGCATTCTGTGGTTCAGCATTTGAAGGAGGAGCTGCCTGACTCTGCTGAGCGGAAAGAACTTCAGCTCGCAACTCCTCAGGAAGGGCATCCAAGAATGCAGGATCAATGGCTCCAGAACCAGCATCACTGTTCATTTGTTGCTCTGTCGCTGGACCATCCTGCTCAGCTTCTCGGCTGGAATTTTCTGAGACTTCAGTTACACTATGAAGGGCCACGTCTCTTGCACTGGCAGTCGAGTTTCCAAAAGACACATTTGTTCTTCTTGTGCGAGCTGAATGTGAATCACCCAATGGCATCCTGTCTGTAGAACCTTGCCTCTCTCCGCCATCATCATGGCCATCGGCACTTCCAATTTCCACATCAAGGCTACGAAGGCTCTCCCCTAAAGTTGCTCCACTTCCACCACTTTCTTGGCTAATAGCTTCTACATCCCGCACAGCTGAATCATTATGTTCAAATTGCATCTCAACTGATTGTGAATGAGTGCTTGCTACATCAGCCGTCTGTAGAGATCCAGTTTCTGCAGGTCTCACATCAGCACTTCCTGATGTATCAATAGCATCCGTTGGAGCAGGCACATTTCTACTTTCAGCATTTACATTGTTCTCAACAGAGACGTCAGGCCTTGGCCCTCCTTCTGATTCTTGTAACTGAACTTCAGCTTTGTCTTCAGGCACTGCTGCTGTGTCCTGATCCGAGGTCTTTTCAGGGGTTGGTCGCCTCAACTGGGAAACAAGTAACTCCTCAAGGCCTTGAGGTACTACACCTGCATTTGATCCACCACCTTGCTGGTTATCATCTATCCACAAGTTCAAGCGGTGTCCATGACGCCCATTTCTCAGTGATCGGAAAACGGCATCAAGGCGTGATGAGGTGTTCTCTGAATTCCTATCTGGTAAGGGAATATCACGAACATTCTCTGAAAAAGTGAGTTTCCAGCATCAGATATTAGCAGAAAAGACAGAAAAATATATGTACATGTCTAACACTCGATCAAAGAACACAAAAACAGGGTAGCAAGAATCAAACAACAAAGTTCTCTCTTTAAAAGGGGAAAAAAAAATTAACAAAACAGAAACAAAGGTGTACCTGATTGCCCTGGAGGGGCTGGGTGGAGTGAAGGTCCCACCAAAAGAGGGTGCCGTGATGGAGCAGCACTCTCACCAGTTCTGCCCAAGAGACTGTAAATGGAAGTAGTGCGCCCTTGACGTCTGGAGCCAAAAACTTCCACAGGCATCACATGGAGCGCTTCATTGGGGAAATTGTGATCTCTACTGAAAACCTCAATATGGTCAAATACATTAATCCCATTGATGCCCTCCTCCAGCCGCAATATAACTCCATCTTCATCGTCCTCATCATCTTCATCATCTTCTTCCAATACTTCCTCATCAAATTCCTCATCATCAATCTCATGATCATCTTGATCGGTATCGGGGTGAGTCAGGTGATGGGCTTCATCTTCCATATCATTATGCTCCTCATCATCCTCATCTTCATCTTCATCTACTTCATCTCCATCATCCCCAGACATCTCTTCATCATCTTCATCGTCATCCTCATCATCCTCGTCAAGATTTTCTTGCACATGAGGTTGAATTTCGAATGGCATGCCCATTGCATCAATGCCATTTTCAAGACCCCGAGTATCCTCAGAAGTTTCGTGCATATAATCATCTTCAGTAGCAGGAGCAAAACCACCATCTAGATCTTGGTCATGTTCCATATCATCTGTCACAGCCTCAGAGCCAGCAAAGGATTGCACAGTATTATAAGTCTCAATGTGCTCCGGTGGCACAGAATCGTGAAGGGATTGGGACACTGCACCCATTGATTGGGAGGTGTCACCAACATTGTCTGCCCTCCCATGTTGACTTTGATCAGTATGTTTGGTGGAAAGGTCACCCTTCCCTGTGTTGGAATCGGCAGAATGGACATGTTCTTTACTTACCAACTCTAAAGCCTTGATAAGACCCGTAACAACTTTAGGTGCATCGGCATGGTCCAGGTCCAACACTTGCAGAGTTCGAGTCAGTGAACCAACCAGACCAACATCTATAAAGGTGGCAGCAGCTTCCGCTGAGATGTATGAGCCAGTAGGCGTGCGAGCAGCTAGAACATCATTAAGCAGATCAATAAATGCTTGTGTATCATTTTTGGGTTGCCGAGGACCATTACCTGAGTCAACAAAGTCATTAAAAATGAAACTGATCTCAGTAAAAACTCTTCTCCTTGCTTCTGAAGAACGAACACAAGATGCAACCAAAAATTGGCTAGCCCTGCTTGCTAATTTGTGCCTCCAATCACCATCTGTTCTCTTTTCCTTTTTTGCACTTCTAGAATATGTAAGGAATTTATGAAGAATGTGATGAAATATTCCACCACTGTTCACAGCAGTAATACCCTTTTGATGACAGTCATCTCTTCGAAGCAAAACATGAGCAGAGGAAGCGTACATCAATAGAATCTCTGTCAGAAGCTTAAGAATAAATACAACCTTCGCAAGAGATGCAGAAGCTTCCTGGTTACTGGTTTTGTTATCTTCAGATGTAGTGACAACGGCTTTTCCCTTTCCTTTAACAGCAGCAACATCAATCTCCATGTCTGTTGACGATGGGGTACCAAGCGGCACATCTGAGGCAACATCATCTTTCAGGGGAGGTATATAGGCACAGACAGAATCCAAAAGAAGCTCAATAACAGTGACAAAACTCTGAGGGTATTTTCGATGAGCTTTGGCACTTTTTGGATTTGAATCATTAACTTTGCCATGCCCATTCCCAGAAGTCGCTGGATTAATATTACCCAAAGCATTTTTCCCATCACTTGATTGTTTGTCTTTCTCCTTCTCTTTGCTTTTATCTTTCTCACGATCCTTCAGCAAGACAATGTAGGGCCTTTCACCAACCATTTCAATTTGGCAAACAGACTGAGCAGCCCTCATAAAAATCACTGGATCGCGGGAAATCGCAGAGCTTAAACTTGATAGAAAGTTTCGGGGAGAAACTCTTCCATTTGAATGTCTGTTAGCAGCAGCAACAAGGCTGTGCCTTATCTCAAATTCCATTGCCTGCTGAAGCGTTTGAGGATCTTCCAGGACATGACGTATAATCGTGGCAGCAACATTGTCAAACCCAGGAAAGAGGCTACTTGTCGGCAAAGTAAGCAGTAAACTTAAACCCCCAGCATCAAGAAAACTAACAGCAACAGAATGTGCTCTGGTGAGAGTAGAGCATAGTTGCAAAACGGCATGCATTGTTTCAGATGGAAGCTGGCTCTTGATACAAGAACATGCAATCTCAATCAGTCTTTTCTGGTCCTTTAAGTCTATATGTTTCAAAGACAGCCCCAACACAGACTGCAACCTATTTTGCTTATCCTCATCAATGCTTATGGAGCCCTGCTGACCACTAATACTGTCCTTTTTCAACTGCTCTGCAATTTCAGAATTCAGTTTTTGATCCACCTGCAAGAGCCGATCAATAGCAAGAAAAGCTGTTGTGACCCACTTTGGTACTTGACATTTCTCCCTGTCAACTAAACCAGAACTAGACTCCCATTTAGAAAGCAGATCTGAGGCAACTCTAACCAGACCACTATTTGAAGCAACTTCACGTGCCACTGCATCATCTTGAAAAATTAAAGCAAGAACATGAAAAAGAGCAGATAGCATGGGAACATTTCCCCCATCAGCAACCAGACTACACTCTTTTACTCTGTCAACAATAAAGGTCATGATATTAGACCTATATTGACCATCGTTTTGGGAACACATCATTGCCAGCAGATCTCGAACTGGAAAAGCAAGAGGTTCTTTCATTTGCAAAAGCTTTGCGCATGTAGATAATAATTCTTCAATGGGAGGAAGCTGAACCATCTCTTCTTCTAGCTGCTTAACGTTGTCATTTGCGCCAGCTTCCTTATTTTCTGATTCAGAGTTCCCAAGAGACATCGCGAGTGCACGGGCAAGTTCATCATCTTCCTGAGTGTCCTCCGGATGGGAGAATAACCACTCCATTGCCAACTCCACGCTATTTGATCCAACTTGTCTCAGAGCTTCTTCTGCCCTGGGCCTAGAAAAGCCCATCTCCACAATTGTTGAAATAGCTGTCTCATTTGGAGGAGGGGCAGCAATACGAGCACTACTGTTGCTATTAACATTTTTCACTTCAACCCCCGAGTAAACGTGCCTAATGATAGAAATCACAGTAGTAATGAAATCATGACTGCAATCAATAAATTGTGGGTGTGACCAAACTGGAAGCACAGCTTTCAGCACCATGGATTGAAGGACCTTCACAAAAGTCTCGGCATCACGTGGAAAGGGGACATTCCCACTTGTTATGGGTTGCGTGAGCAAGTGTTTTGTAAAAGGAGACAAAATGAAAGAAGACGTGACCAGGTGGTCCATCAGTTTACCATAGCTAGCTAAAGGACCATAAATCCATGAGTGATCAGTGTCTTCCTTTTCATCCTGCTTTAGAACCACATCATCAGTTTCCATAGGAGATGCAGGCGCCCTATTTACTGTGAACAACAGTTGACTGGTAGCTTCAAACGTGGTCAAAAGTGATTGCAATACTCCATGCCCATACAGGCAATTTAGTAGAACAGGATTACAAGAATCCGGTCTCTCCAATAGACTGCCATCAATGAAGTCAATCACCTTACCAAAGTAACGACACTTTGTTGACACAGACACCTCAGACGCAGAAGCATTTACATGCCCCCCAAAATTCATGTGATCCAATGTAATGGCAGCAAAGGAGGAAGCCACTGATTTTGAGGAAGGGGAAACATTCACAATATCATCCCGTCGGCGAGAAGGAAGCAACATTACCCTTCCCAACTCTTGAAACAGATGGGTAATGTGAAAAGAAAGTGATCTCACCATATCACAGCATGAAGTATAATAGGATCTTTGCTCCTTTCCACTAAGACCAACACCAGAATCTGAAGATCCGGATTGATTTAACTGATTACCAGCTCCGAACCGCAGATTTGACGAACCATCAGTACTTGTCCTTTGTTGAGAACTAGTGGCACGGCCAAGGTCATGATACAGGCTTATAAGGTCAAAAAACTGAGATTCAATACTCCAACCCGATGTCCTCCTTCTCAATAATGGATCAAGGAACTGCCTAAAAGAGTTAAATCTTTGCTCTTCACTCTCATATGTAGGCATTTCTGACTGTTGTGACTCAGCAGGAGAATCAACACCCTCATCCTCTGTCCCAGGCTTGGCATCTTCAAGAAGAGCAATCTGCCAAAGAACTTCACGATGGACACACCCTATATCTTCAAGCACATCTTTGCTACCAGTTCCAAATTCAGTCAGTAAGGCAGTTATCCAGCGGTTGTCTTTTGAGGCAGCAATAAACAAAAGAAATTCAACAAGGAAAAGTGACGAAAATATTGCACCATCTGCAGTCATCCTGGGATCTAATAAAGACCCTGAAACTAATTCAAATCCAGTCAAAGCTTTCTTCAGATGATCCCTAAGAAAGGAGCAAAATGCACGGGCAAGTGCAGCAGAGTGATGTTGCGTAAAACCCTTGAAGACCATGGTGCTGTGTAAAGCAATAGACATTCCATCAGATGATTGAACAATCCTAGGCCGTAATAGAAGCCTCAATAACGCTTCAATTCCGGACTTCTCAACAAATAATCTACATGTTTCAGAATTCTCCATTGTTCTGTGAACCAGTACCATCAGATGGAAGATTGATAGCTGAACAAACTGCTCATCACTGATTCCCTCTGCAGATGAATCTACTGCACTAACCAGACGGCAATGGCCTTCATTTTCTTTGTCTTCAGAATCCGTTTCCATTGCAGCACTTCCATTAACTTTTCCAGATGTCCCTGTACCATTATTGTCAGCAAAAGAAGTAACTTTTTCAATAATTTCAACGATTATATCGACACCAGTGCTTCTTAGTGAAGAAACATGGCGTAAAAGCTCTTCCACAGCATTTGCCAAAGGAACAATAGCATCATTCATTGCTACAATATACTTCTTGCTAGTGAAAATGTCGACAAGAAAACGTAATGCGGAACTTTCCTTCACTGCCTCCAAGCCTTTGGCATTCAGACAAATGGCACCAAGACCATTAGGTACACAGGTAAGAGCTTTAGAAGAAGGCAGAATTCCAGCTACTACTGAAGATAAAAATGCATCTGGAAGACCCATTTCATGCAAAGAAGAAAAAGAAGTTGGGTCTTTGTGGATTATTTCACTCATAACTGTCACAGCGGAGTGATATATGTCACCACCAAACTTCTCTACGTTTCCAAATATCAGAGACAGAGTTGCAGGTAAAGAATTGTCATGAGAATGTTGAGATCTAGAAGAGTTCCCAGGAGCATATGTAGCAGAACCAAGTGCCTTCAATGAAACTTTAATGAGTCTCTTTTGAGAATACAACTGGTCATCACCATATCTTGAGCTTTCACCAATCACCATTGAATTATCATCAACTGCATCAGATCCAATGACTCTACGCACCTCTATCTGTAGTCTCTGAGCAAGAAGTTCAACTCCACCCAACTCCTTAAAAAGAGAAACAGCTGAACTACTGTAATCCATGAGCTTCTGAAGAGTTTTCACAGCAAAACAGACTAGATGCAAATGCATGGGATCAGAATCCTCCAAAAGTGGTAAAAATGTAGGAACCATGCCTGAGCCCCTTATATTACTCCCTGTAGTTGATGATGAAACCACATGGAGCAAATAAAATTGGAGAAGGGCTTCAACAAAGGCAAGTGAGGAAGGATCATTGGAGTTCTTAAGCGATAAAACAGCCTTCTGAAGCACATTCAGGAGTATCATACGGTTTCCCCCAGCAAAACTGATACTAGATCCGCTCAAAATGCGTGCTCGCTCATGAGATGCAGAATATGCGGCTAACTGAGCTCCTAAAGCAAGCATTGCAAGTGTTCTAATGTTCCCAGAAACAGTTTCTTCAGAGCGTACAATCCTGATCAGTTCATTTGTATACTCTGGCTCATTTGCAAAAAAGGACACAAGTTCTTCATGAGCATCACTAGACTGAACAAGAACAACAAACGCAAGAAGGCAAATCCTGCTATACAGCCTGCATATTCTGGGAGAACGGAAGGCACGGGCGTATCTGATTCTAGTCAACAATGAGAACCGGAGATCAGGAGGCACCTTGAACTCCTCAATGCACTGTTTCATTATTGTTAGATCATCTTCCTTGTGCAAATGCACATCAGGAATCTGTATAACTCTTAAACTAGAAGAATTTACATCAATACAGCTCCCTTCTGTGCTTTGGGGATGCCCATGTACCTCAAAATAAAGGGTAGATCCTACCCGGTACTGGGACTTGTCACTATCAACTTCTACATCTGATGGGAACAAATGCAGCCCATCACCTTGGATAGTCTCGTTTTCCATAACACATGAATATAAACCCAGACCCTCTTCCTTGCTTCCCCATCCCTGTGCTAGAGAGATGAGATAGCTGTTCACTGGACCACAACCAATCAACTTTCCACTTCCATGCAGTTTGGAAGGATTAATTTTTACAAGTGCAGACAGTGTTTCCAGCGTTGCTATAAGAACCTCAGGATCGGTTGATGCAAGTAGGAGCTTGAAATGCTGAAGAAATATGACAGAATGTTAGACACATTACTTTCTTCTAATAAGAAAACTCCATTTTATTGATAATTAATCAAAAACAAAGGAAAAAGGATAAGGGTTCCTCAATCAGCAATACAAGAAAAAAAAAAGGGGGGGGGGGGGAAAAAAAGGAAAAAAAAAAAAAAAAAAAAAAAA